CATCATTTTATCAAACAACAACAAAAAAGGACCCCTGGGAGAAGAAGAAACACAGATCCAAAGACAGAAAATATCATGAAAACCTTCTGGAAAATTTAAAGGGAGAGAGGACACCGGAAGTGTCTCTGGCTGCCCATCCAAAAGCCTTGTTGGGGTGCTCTTCTTCTGGCAATCTGGTCATGTTTGATCGATGCGTAACCGTTTCTCTCGTCAAGTCACAAAGCAAAAGCGAGGCAGATGAAAATCGAAGAACGATATGAAACGTTGTAGTATGGAGTGGGAAGTTGTGGAGTCTGCTTATTTATAGGTGCTTCGGGCGGCATCGCTGACGTACCGAGTGAGCAAAATAAGGACGTACCGCTTTTAGTTTGGAATCTTTTTCCAAAGAAAAGTCGGGTCATAATTCAACATTTTCAGCTTACCATATCTACCAATATTAGTACTTGGCGTTTTTGTTATTTCCTCTTTCATATCACAGAAGAATTTCCAATTTTCACTACAAGGTTATTATTATAAGTGTGCGTTTGTTTCCGCTAAAATTATTTTTTAAAGAAAATACCAAAATACAAAGTAAGTCTTTAAAATTTTTTTTCATTTTTCTAAATAAATTTAAATACTTCTTTTTTTATTCAATAAATTATTTTTTTATTTGTACACAAATAAACTCCTATATTAATAAAAATATTAACTATTGTTATATCTTAACCAATTGATATTTTTCATACACATAAAAATTAATATGATGAGACATATTGATTTAATTAGAAGATATGATATTTTTCGTTATTCATTCACATATCTCATATAAAAATCTCGTGTAATTTTATTTGATAAATTAAAATTTTTTAAAAACAAATTTGATAAAAAAAATTATATAAATATAGTTTTTGAAATGTGTCAAATGTTTCATTAATTGGCGGATAAGATAGAATGCTGTAAATAAGTAAGTAGAAGACTCGTTTTCGGCTCTTCAGCCACCTCGTACTGCCAGTTTATAACTGTCAATTATATATAAAAATATAAAATAATGATGACAGACAATAAATATATTATTTTATGTTACTTTTATACATATTAAAAATATATATATCTCTTCTGCATAAGCTTTAGATATTAGCATTACCTCACAAGGCACAATATATAATTAAAATATGGAAGGTGAAAAGTAATTGATTCTTCAGTATAGGAAAGAAAGTATTTGCTTTCCTTAACATATGAATTTTCTAATTAAATTCAAACCAATGGAGAAGACCTGGGCGCCACCCTATCCTTAAATGAGCGTTGCAAAGGTGGGTGCGGTTAATTCCTTGCGCCAAACGCATAGAAAATCAAGGCTCCGTTCCAAACACGTAACAGCAGTGTAATAGGCACATGAAAAATAGTCCTAGCACGTACATGAAAACGCTGGAAGTGTTGATTCTTTTTCCAGTGCTGGGTTTACTCTTTTTCCTTTGTCGTTTTGTTTAACGATGCTCTCACCTCAGTCGTCATCCGTTAGCTCACCCGCCACGTCGTCCGTATTTATGAGCCCTCACATTTTGTTTAATTTACATTCTCTTTTTTAACACCCTAAATATTCTTGTTTTTATACATATTTTAAATTTATTTCTTAACATTAAAAATTGTAGAGCATTAATTTTTAATTTTAAAACAAGATTAAAATAGAAATTCTTAATTTTTTTTAATCCTACAAAAGTCAAATAGAAACAATAAATTTGAAACAAAAAGAATACGATTCTTTTTGTAAGTATTAAATTATACTTATTAATTGTAAATCATTTATCCAAATTTATATATGGAACTTTAAGCTCAATAGCAGAGTGAATAAATCTACAATGCAGCTACAAACTACAGTGTAGTAAACAACAAAACTATAGTTGTCATGAACCTTGAGCCGCCTTGACAGACTACTGTATTCATTTCCTATTTACAATGTTTTACAGGTGAAGGAAAAACATCAAACATTCAACCAAAGAGGAAGAAAAAAACAAAGATCGAGGAACAGGACCCAGAGAGACTCAGCTGGAGGAGTCTTCTTTCCTTTCAACTTCTACAGAAGGTTTATATTCCATCCCTGGAGATGTGTCTTTCTTCTCTGTTCGTGAGCAAAAAGATAATGCAACTGGTGATTATCATATATATATAGCAGTGATGCGAACAGTGACTTCAAAATTGTGAGTTATGACCAATTAGTTAGGGAGTATGTTATTCAATTTAAAAACGCACGTGATGCAGTGGAAAGTTTAAATCCTTGGGGCTATTTGAGAGACATGGGAATTATATTAGTATTCTTTTTTGTTAAAAGGTTTTAAATTGTAGTTGTATGTTTTTTCCTAGTACATCCGTAAGAGCTTGTGACATTAAAGATTGAAAGAGGAAAAGGGATGGGAAGAAAGAAGAGGTAGGCGAGGGTGAGGGGACCTGGTAAAGGTATAGAGTATATATGATTCAAGCACGAAAGATTTTAAACCTTTTCAGGAAGAAGCAAAAAATTTAAGAGCATTCTTAATACAGAGCCATAACTTCAGAATGGTTAGACTTAAGCTCACTTAGAGGGCAAAAAAAAAAAAAACCAATCACAATACTTTTACTATCTCTAAGGACACCATCATAGCTTGCAAGACTGCATTTACTTTTCGCAGAACCATTCACAGTAAATATCAATTCATCATTATTAAGAGCAATCTAGGAAATCCTTTTTCTTGCTCCTCCAACTGGTAGCGACCTTCTCGACATTCAAGGCACATTCCACCAATCCACCTCGTCTAAAGTCTCTTCTTTCTCAATTGAATTAATCCAAAACTTCCTTCTCATTTTTAATCATAAAAGCAACTTCCTCGCTTTCCCATTTCTTCGAGTTGAAAAGCAAATCATTTCGAAATAGCCAGAGCTCCCACTACTGACATCCATATGTTTTTTAAAGAGCTATTCATCATAAAACTTTCGCAAAATTTTACCATAGTCGAAAAGGACGACATTACCCAATCAAAGCCCCACCACTCAAAAATACAGCAACAAACGTCCCATGAAAACTGACACGTTAATAGCAAGTGGACACTGTCTTCCTCAAACCGATCACACCCAGAACTCGACAAACTCTTATTATCAAAGGAAATACCACTAGTTTTCAAACATTGAACTTTGGCGGAACCAAAAAGTTCTATTTTGAAGGATACCAAGCTCTACCCCTGCCGATGCGAGATTGCCCATCTAGGAAGGTTGTAGCCCTTTTAAATGAAAATTTACCTTTATTGTCAAGTTCCCAAATCAAAAGGTTTTTTTTAAATGATCAATGCAAACCCCTTGGGGAGTAGCAAGAAAATCCCACCAACCATCTGCCGCCCAAGCTGGCTTGGAAAGTTAACATTGCCTGTCCAAGTTTGAAGTGTCATGAGCAAGTTCTTGATGTTAACCTGATTAGTAGATTGGATTATACCTCTCAAAAGAAAAGCTCGATTAGATTATACAATTATTTATTTATGTGAACTGAAATGCAGGCATGAGATTGTTGGTGAAGTGACAGACTAGGGAGCGAGGTAAAGAAGTTCAAAATTGGAGATAGAGTTGGAGCGGGCTGCATGGTTGGGTCATGCCACTCCAGCGATGACTGCACCAACAATCTTGAGAACTACTGCCCAGGAATGATTCTCACCCATGGGGCCAAGTACTATGATGGAACTATTACACATGGAGGCTACTCTGCCACTTTTACAATCTGCCTCTTACAGTCCGTTGAGAAATTATGGAGTTTATAAGCCTGGTTTGGATGTTGGTGTGGTTGGATTAGTTGGGCTAGTCATGTGGCAGTGAAATTTGCTCAAGGCTATGGGGGCCA